TTTTAATATTATTACCATATTAGTGTTGTTTGTTTATCTTGGAGTTATTAATAAAATATATAATATCATTAGTTAGCCTGTGATTATGTTTTCATTAGTTAAATTTCGTCATAAATACGATTACAACGAGTGCGCTGAGTGGTTTTATTCGTTTTCTAAACGAAAACAATTTGAAAATATGTTGTCAGACATCGATATTTTGAATGAACTAGATAATATACCTATTAGCTAACGAGGAGTCAGATGATGAGTTCCTTGACTATTTGTGTTTTGATGATGATGACTCAGGTAATTATAATACATCATTTTTATTTTTTTACTATAAATGATTTATGTAAAACTATCTTTTCTGTTCAACAGCTACATTGGTATCGCCACCTCTGTCACGCCATAACAGAGAAGAACAAATTCAATCATATGATGATAATATCGAACAAGGTAAATACCTACAGTTGTGCGATACACAGTTTCTAATTCTCAATTTTTTTACCTCACAATCATAATAGATAGTAATTTTATTTACTATTTATCTATTTTAGATCTACCAGGAACATCTGAAACTTATTTAGACGTGCCAGTTGCTCAAAATATTACTGGTGTAACTGGTGTCTTTGAAAAAAATATTAGAAAAAAACCTGTAAATAAATCTTTGCATACGCCAGACTTCAAATGGAAGTCAACAGGAAAATTTAGCCCTAAGACAAATAGTTTTAACTCATCTAAGGTAATACATTTTATTTACTATAAATAAAATATGTGTTTTTCTAAWATAATATTTTTTTGTAATTATATCATTATAATACTTATTATTGTTATTATAGTACAAGTAGAAGTTGTAACTCAAATAACTAACAAATATTAGTATTACTATAATAATATAATAGTTCTGATATTTTTACTATTATAATTTTTGTATAAACAATTATTATTTATTATATTAGTAGGGAAAATACAAAAAATAAACTATTCTTATTCTGTAATTTATGTTGTTTACATAGTGTGGAGTTCAAAAACACGAATTTGGGTTGAGTGATGAGTCCCCTATTTTAGATTTTTTTGAAGCATTCATGTCAGAATTTATCCTTGGAAAAGTAGCGTTTGAAACCAATCGGTATGCAGAGCAATATTTAAAACAAGAAGATATAGCCCCAAAATCTAGAGTGAAATATTGGAAGCCAACAAATATTGGAGAACTTTATGTGTTTTTAGCTACAAGTATGCTTATGGCTCGTAACAAAAAGCTAGAAATAAATGAATATTGGTCAACAGATCCACTTCTAATGTCATCCATTTTCAGTAAAATTTTGAGCAGAGATAGGTACTTACTAATTTTACGTATGTTACACTTTTGTAATAATGAAAACCAAAAATCTGGAGATAGACTTTTTAAATTAGATGTGGTATTGGATGAAATCCGTGCCAATTTCAAGGCTGGTATGGTACCATTTCAGAATTTAGTTATTGATGAAAGTTTAGTGTTGTGGRAAGGGAGATTAAGTTTTAAGCAGTTTATARAGTCTAAAAGGCATCGCTTTGGAGTAAAACTGTTCGTATTATGCGATGTTGAAACCGATTTTATTTTAGATATTATAATTTATACTGGTGCTGAAACTTGTCTATTGCAATGTGATAAGAACATAGGCATATCTGGGGCAGTTGTTATGACTTTAATGGCACCATATCTAAAAAAAGGACACAACTTGTACACAGATAACTGGTACACCTCACCTATTTTATGCCAACATCTATACAAAAAAAAAACAACATTAACTGGGACTGTCAGAAAAAACAGAAGAGGGATGCCTGATTTAAAAAAAAAATTAAAACTAGGTGAAGTTCAGAGTAGTCACACACAAACAATGATGGCACTGWAGTGGTTGGATAGAAGAGAAGTCTATATGTTATCGTCATTATATGATTCTAGTTCAGCCAGCACAAACAAAATAGACAGAGCTAGTGGTAAAGTTGTAAAAAAACCTACATGTATTGTAAATTATAATGCATGTAWGGGAAATATTGATAAATGTGATATGCTGCTTAGTTCTATTGAATGTGTACGAAAAACCATGAAGTRGTATAAAAAAATATTCTTTCATTTAGTTGATTTATGTCTTCTAAATTCTTTTTCGGCATATAAAACTGTAAGTGGCAAGAATATACCAATAGCAAATTTTCAATTAGAACTTATTAGACAGCTTTTGGATAAATATGGAAAATATAATAATAGTCCTAATAGGGGAAGAGCAAGTACAAAAGATGAGCCAACTCGACTCACAGCCCGTCATTTTCCAACAGATGTKCCCAAAAATGAAGTTGGAAAAGCTAACCGAAGAAAATGTATTGTATGCTCTAAAAACAATAAAAGAAAAGACACATTATATATGTGTGATTTATGTAATGTTGGATTATGTGTAACACCTTGTTTTGGTATTTACCATACAAAARCCAACTACAAAGCTACTCAATTATTATATTAAATTTCTTATTATAAAAAAATAATTTACCGTTGGTTTTATACTATTAGTAATTTATAATTTATGAGTGTGTGTAATATAATTTTTTATGGTTAATATTGTTAATTATGACTTTTTTATGAAAGATTTGTAAAATTTTTTTTAAAATACTTTAACTGTTAAAAATAAATGTTTGACATAAAAAAATCTAATGTTTCATTGATTTTGTGCATTAATTTATTTAGCGGAGTACATTTTTGAGAAACCCTGGCTAAGAGTTATACAATTAGCAATAACTTGGTAAGTTTTGTTCCAATTTTTTTTTTTTAAATTTTTTCAGATTCAGTGAGTATAAAACTATCTTTTTATGGTGGAAATACCAGTTAAATAATTTATGAAATATAGTCAGCAAAGAGCAGTTGCATTAGATTTTTATGATCAGCAGTGAAAGGTTTAAAAAAATAAATAAATTGTATTTTGATATGAGTATATTTAAAGAAGTTGACAACAAAAAGTTATTTAAAATTTAAAAAAAAAATTGGGCGCTAATGGTTTAATATAATTATTATTATAGCTATTAAATTTTATAACATTGCTTAATGTTATAAAATATAATATAGACACACACTGTATGAGCAAGCGAGTAGCACGCCAGGTGTATATGAAATTTCAATTAGTTATAATTTCAAAACTAAATCCAAGATCATAATTTTTACTACACTATTGTTTTAAGTATATATAACATAAGTTAAAAACTGCAAGGAGTCCGATGAAGTGGAAAATCTACTTAATACTACAGTATATAAAACAGTCTCTAAATACCGGACACTCTAGGTCGCTTAAACGTCGTCCGCTATTTGGAGGTGTCCGCTATTAAGAGGGGAAATACAGTAAGTACACATTTCACCGTTCCCAAAATTCCGTCCGTTATTTGGAGGTTTCAGCTATTGAGAGGTGTCAATTAAAGGAGGTTTCACTGTATGTTTAAAAATAAATGTCATTATTGACAAATTATCGTTTCATACTTCCTACAAATTATAAATATAATACGATACTACGATTTACGAAACCAATAACCTGTGATTATCGGCGGTCTGACACTTTTCTTGGGAACATGTACATTCATATATTATACGACAGTATTTTTCATTGATCTTCTCTTTCAGATACGTTTCTTGGTTTAATTTCAATTTAGTCTCTTCTAGTTCTCGTTCAATACATGTTAGTTTATCTGTCACTTTTTCCAATTTCGTGTTTAAATATTTTGTCTCTACATAAAAATTACTTATTTCATCGTTTGCAATTGATAGTTTCTCGTTGCATGTGGCTAAATCATCTCGCAAGTAATTTTTCTTCTTATTGACACATATAATTGATTCATTTAATTCGTTGATGTTTTCTAAAAATGTACTGTTTTCTCTTTTCAGATAATTACATTCCTTAGATAAATCATCGAATATCATGTTACGTTCTACCATGATTGCATTTATTTTCATTTCTAACGATTTAATAATCWCTCGTGATTCCGATAGGTCTTTATCGATTAATAAACATTTATTTGTTAAAAAATCATGTTGAACCTTATAAAATTGGGCTTCTTTTTCAAATGTTTTAGTATCGTGTTCTAATTGTTGAATTTTTTGAATCTGACTATCATTTTTATTTTTTAGACCTTCTTCAGCATAAGCCAGTTTAGATAAAGCAATCGCTAATTCATTTTTTTGTGTTTTAATTATACTTTTAAATTCGTTTAGTTTTTGTTCTGCCACAGATTTATCATCCTTAAGTTTGGAAATTTCCTCTGTATAAAGAATTTTATGATCTTCAATACCTTTTATTATGATTTCYAGATTATGTATTTGTTTGGTTAGGTCATCGATAGAAATAGTTTTCTTACTGCTACAATTTTTTTCATCTTTTAATTCGTTTTCAAGATTCATATTTTGTTTAGTTATTATTAATTGATTTAGTTAGCTTGTTATACAAGTGCTACAATTGAGGCGTTTTTATAATTTTATCATTATTTTCAGAGAAGACAGATCTTAACAAAATCTATTTTTTTCTAAATATTTGTTTTCACTTTTGTTAGTTGGAATTTGAATCTCATCACCAATACTATTAATGATATGATTAAATAATAAATCATTAAATATACAATAATATTGTTTGTATCTATAGCAACTATGGTTCTATAAAACACAATTCCTTTCTATCTTATTATTGAATATTAAATAATTATATATGCTATTTGAAGTTTGAACTATATGGTTGACACTAGGCAATTAAAATTATKGCTTAAATATTATCGAAAAAAAATTATCTCTACATTTAATCAAAGGCATCAGTTGGGGAGGAGTCGGGGACATAATTTAATTTATATTAATTGTATAATCCCTTGTAAAAAAAATAAAATAAAATGTGTACCGAATTATCAATTTTTTTACCTATGCCCCTCAGTTTATAATTCTTCATCCACCTCTACTAAAAGATTAATTAATAGCAGGTCAGTTAAGTGGGGTGTGTGATTATTTCCTGACTGAAAGTTTTCGTTTGATATTGATGATTAGGAAGTTTGTATTTTGCACCATCGTTGATAATTGAAAATAGTGTTTGTAAAATATAGGATGGAAGCGTCGTACGTGTTATGTGATAAGAGAATTCCAATGAGTTTAAAAGATAAATTTTTACAAGAGTGTAGTGAGACCATAGACCTTATACTCATAGACGGAACAAGCTAGTAGTTCTCGCGGTAAACGGTGGTTGCGCTGCACATGTTGTTTCATACTTCTGCGTATATGCGTAGGACAAACCAGGTTGCGCATAAAACGCTTATTATTATCGTATCGTATTAACAGGGCTTGGGACTTGGACTATGTGCTTAAAATCAAAGATATATGTACATATTTAAGCATCCAACAATATAAAATGTGTGTTAATGTAAGTTATTCGCAATTTATAGAAAACATAAATGATGAACATTAACTTATTTTACTTCTGTTAGGTTGTTAGGTATAATATATTTATAATGGTTTTTGTCTTTAAATTTCATTAGTTTAAATGCTGTATTGCTGTCCTTAAAAACAAATATTTTTACAGAAAATTGAATTGAATAACTGTATTAATAATTTTTATACATATACAATTTGAATTTATTATATAAATAATTAAAAAAATTCCTATTTTTTAAAAAAAAGATAAAATATACAGTATAAATTTAAAAAAATATGCATATATAGGAAAAAAGTTGGAAATAGGTTGGTAGGTATGCTTAAATATGTGCAAAAAACTTTTAAATTTCAAATCCAGACACCACAAAACAAATTTATAATGAATCAGATTTATTCTATTTGCTTTCCGGACAAATGTTTTGCAAATTTGAAATTTGCAAATGCATATTACCAAGCCCTAATAATTATGTTACAACATTAATACCTTAATAAAATAAATAAGTAAACATATTTTATGTTATCAGAAATGACAACACTGCTAAGATGATAGCTATGACCGCACCACCCAACCCCGCTAACCAGTGATGCTCCGTCTATGAGTATAAGGTCTATGAGTGAGACCAACCATGCTATAAGGTTCGGAATGTTCGAATTTTTATACTTAAAATCTTCTATGTTTTGTGATTTGATTAAAAAACAAATTCTTGAAAATCACTAATTCGTACATTTTTCTAAATGATTCCTAGCATCAATACGAAAAGCCTGGAGTTTTTGTTCCATTGTTACAGTCACTTTCTTATGTTTAACTGAAGTTGTCATTTTACTTTGTTTTTAAAGTGCGAGAATGTTAGATGATCTACACGAATACACGCTCACTACTAAATAAAATAACGAACGAACTAATAAACTGAAATGAGAAACGACATATCACAATTGAGTATACATTATTTTCAAATTGTGATAGTTTATGTAGTTAATGACTTATACTAATACTTTATAACATATAGTATACTATGGTCGGGTATAAAATTGTAGCGTCCCAGCATACAGGAGGACAAACGACTGGTGTTGAGGTAGATGGTTTGGGTGTAATAAGTATAACAACTTAATTTGTGATTAATTTATTAGATATTTATCTGTTTACTATGAAAATAAAACACTTTTACTGCACAAAATGATTTGGTTGCAAAATATTCCAAGTCCGAATAATTAAATTGGACTGGTGTCTGGCGTGAAGGTGCTTGYTCTGACTCTGGTGGCTCACGTCTGAATTGGGTCTAATCGGGGCTCTCCTATATAGTCCAGATAGTCCTACTCTCTGCATTTCCTCTCCTATCGATAAGATACGTATGTGTCCATGGCCGCGTCGTGCAAAAGCGTACGCGTGTATTATTTTAATATCGCAGCTTCCCACGCCCATGCGACCGGTCGGCCACATCCTGGTTATTCGCGATACGTAATCTCCATAACCCGACGACATTAATCATATCTCTAGATACGCCTACCAAGACTACGATTTCATATTTAATATTTCGTATATTTAATTCCAATTATGGTAATATTTTGGAAAGGCTAGAAGTTTGGCCTTCGATATAACTATTGAGGTCCTACACAATATAATTGGTTGGCGAAATCATACGCCCCAGGGTCACTTATACATATCTACGTGTATATGCGTGTTTAGATGTCTCAGCGGGACGTCAGTACATAGCAAAATGAATTTAATTTGATGAATTAGGAATATATTTTATACCTACCTAAATTTTCTTTTGAAATAATAAATAGATGTTATATGTTAATAATATTATACTTATAGCTTTAATCGAAGTTTAATATATAATATTTATGAACTTGTAACAACGATTTTTTTTAATAATGTACCATTCTGCTTAACTGACTGAATCATGAATGTATTTAAATACATTTAAGTGTAGTCACACTCGGTAATATTTATGAACATTTAAATCTTAAATATTGACAAAACTGAATATTTAAACGTAAAATAACGATTTTTCTTGTATGGTTTATAATATTTTATCGTTATACATGTGATTCATGAAATATTATTCGTCGAAAAATATAACAGTGCACTATTACATAAATCATAATTATTGTCAATAGATGCTCAATGATTTTTTCCAAAGCCTTATGAATTTAGAGTTATTTTATGTTGTTTATATAATCTAATTTCAACTATTTCAAACATTTTTTATACGCATATAGGAGAATAACCAAATATCATACGAAAAACACTCCAAGTTACTTAAACTTGTAACGTAGAAGACGCAACATAGTTACTAAAAAATGTACTCATAATAATTTTATTATTTTATGCGTACTTTAAAAAACGAATTAAGTTGCCAATATTAATCAAGCCACCTGTTTAAAATGTTATGTAGTTTATGAATTGATACACTTATATGAGTAAGCAGGAACTTTCACTGACTAAAAGTTCGGGGAATGATCGAACGTGCTTTAGTAGTACGTACATATGCAATACATGAGCGACAATTAATGCAATTTAACATTGAAACGCTAAACTGCACAGTACATGAAATAATAGACAATAACGTTTTATAGAATAATAATATAATATTAAGATAAATTTTAAAGATAAACATAATATACTATGTTTAAAAATATATTATACATAGGTTAGAATGGTTAGATCACGGTCTTAGAAGATAAGGTCGGACAACTGATTCATTATCAGCATTCCGCTTAGTGAGGCAAATTCATTTCCAAATGTTGCCACTTTACAATTGAGCGCTACCTTACAGACGTTATTTGAAGTTATGGCGTTATACTAGTTTAACGACCGGTGCGGAGGTTCGCCCACAGTGGTTAAAGTGGGAAAAATTTTGAGGGGGGACTAACGTTACCAAAAACTAAGGAGCGTTCCCGAGTTCTTCATCCAAAATCTATATCTAACCAAACTTTTTTAAGAAACCTACTAGGTATGAACCTATATA